ATTCGCATAAGCATAATATAACTTTGGGCTTTAGACGGTTGCAAACCAGATTTCACTGAGTCTGGGTGTGGTCACATCACAAAGACTAAGGGCATGGGGCTATTGAGGAATCCCTTGGAAACCAAGAAAAGAAAATATTCCAGGACAAACCACTGAAATGCTTGAATATGCCTGAAAAACTCTAAGGCGGAAGTCCAAAGACATGAATTCCTTCAGAAAAATCATTTAAGATGAGGAAAATGTTCTGCAGTTAAAAATACCTAGCCTTTTGAGACTATTGGAGGTATTAGGGCTCAGAACTCTCGATGCCATTAGGAGAGAGCCTTATGGAAACTCTAATACTTTGAACATGTGCTGATGCTTAAATCTAGAGATTTGGAACTGAATGTAGGGCTGTTTTCTGATGTACTGGTCTAAATCTAAGGTTGTCAAACTAGCCCATTTTTAAATGGTTGAAAAATCAAAAAAAGAATAATATTTCATGACACATGAAAGTTACATGAAATAAAGGTTTATTGGAACACAGCCATGGTCATTCCTTTACATATTGCTTATGGGTATTTTTAAACTACAATGGCAGCATTGAATATTTACAATAGAGACCATATGGTCAACAAAGCCCAAAGAATTTACTATCTGGCTTTTTGCAGGAAAAAAAAAAAAGAAAAAATAGTTGATCCTGAACTAAATGCAGTGCCAGTGAATAGAGGCTAATCCTGCTGCTTTCCCCGACTCCCTGCACCACCCTCACTGTATCTTTTTTTTCCACACCAGTACATTTTCCCAGTGGCCTCCAGCACTCTTTCCAGTTGATCCTAGAGGCTGCTTCACCATACTTTAACTCTACACAGTAAAAATCAATCAATATAATTGGCTAGAATAGAAATCAAAATCTAGGCATGTCTGGTGCAGAACCACCATCATCAATGTCCAGGGAGCAGGATGGGGTCATTTAGCTATTGAAGAATTGGTCTCTATTGTTCCAAGCCAATGTATATGTGTCCATTGAGGCTGGCCGTCCCGGGAGGAGAAGGCTGACTTGGAGTTTCTGTATGTACCTCTCTAATTGTCCCTCATGGTTTTGCAAGGCCTTCCATAAAGTTATGTTCAATAAAGCCTTGGATATTGACTACACAACCTCACTTACTTCTTTTTATCCCCCCAGCCATTTGCACTGGACCTGGCCTCATAGGTAAGATTTTTGGGGGTTCCTGATACGGAAGACTTCAAGCTCAGAAAAGTGGAAATTTTGAAACTACCTGGATCAGGAGGAAATACTCTGGTTAAAAACAGGCTCAATAGACATCTTCCGATTTTCCACCCCACTCACTCAGTCTTATTTAGATAGATTTCTACTTCCAGATCTTATAAGGAGTTAGGTTCATTTTCTCTGCAGCAAGAAGTTCCTGCATGGGGCAAACAGTTTGCACTCATCTACAAAGGCTTAGAAGAAAGGCTTGCTGAATTGTTTCTGTGAAGATTACAGCCAGGAAAATCCTATGGAGCAGTTCTACTCTGTAACGTGTGGGTTCAGCATGAGTTAGAATTGACTTGATGGCAATTGTTTGTTCTTGTTTTATGCTGCAAGGGGATTCCTCTCCATTTCGCCTTTGTGGCTCAAGAATCTTGGCCAACCTCCAAGCATCTTCTGGCTTTATTTCAGGCCAAATAGGGGTAGTTCTATTCTGTTGTATAGGGTGGCTCTGAGTAAGAATAGACTTCATGGCACACATAACACACGTGCTCACACATAGGCACCTCAGCCCCATGTGGCCATATCTGGGAAATAAACTTCCTTTGCTCCACTTGGTACCGGCACATCCAAGTCCACTCTGACATGTTTAATAGCACCTTTGTTTAAACTAGAAATCCACTGGTCACTGTGCAGCACATGGCTGAACCAGCAGAGTGCAGGCTGGTTATCTGTCACCACTGGCCACCTCTACAAGGAGCCTTTGGGCAATTCACAAACTGCACAACTTCTAACAGAGGTTGAGATGCATGGAGAATGAGTCTATGGAAGAGTAAGGTTATGATGGTACAAACTCAAAGGGGTTATTTGTAGAGTACCAGTTTCTTTTACATTATCCCCTGAGTCTACCCTTTCCTGCGAGAGAAGAGATTTTATCAGAGATCGAAAGCTACAAACTACTATGGAGGAGCTCTGGTAGCATAGTGCCTAAGATACTTGACTGCTAACCAGAAGGCTGGCAGTTCAAGCCCCCAGCCACTCCTCGGAAGGAAGGTTGGGCAATCTACTTCCCTAGTGATACTGCCTTGGAAGCCCAAACATGGATTTCTATGAGTCGGGTCCGACTCGATGGCACATAACAACAATGACAACTACTATGGTGTGGAAGCTCCTGTACCCTACTGGATGCAATTTGATTTCTTAATGAGCACTACTGTTAGGTTCTCAGTCTGCCTCTCAGATTACTTGGTGTTTTTATTCTGACCTCCAGGGCTGCTGCTTAGTGTTGGTACTGGGAAACAACTGCTCTCTTTGCAACCTCCTCATCTCCTAGAATGTTTTTTCTCTGACCTTGGCTCCATCTCTCAAGGCCTCTGATACTAAAGGCTGCAAATAGCACTGCCTAGGACACAGCTGCCCCTTTTATTCATTCTACTCTTTTGGTAGCTTTTAAATCTTTTCTCAACTCTTCTTTTTCCTCTCAAGCTGGATTTCTTTTATACTTAACTCTGTTTCTTTTTTCTTTTTCTTTCTTTACATACATATTTCTTCTTTCCCATGGACTCATCTAGCATTGTATCCCATGGAAAATGAAACTTCATTAAAAGGAAGTTTATTTTAAAATGAGAATTTTATTATTCAAAATCAAATATGAAAACCTTCCTGTGATCTTGATAGCTCATCTTCTCTGGAGTCGATAACAATGCAAATATAAACTCTAGTCTTAGTTACAGTGAACTGTACTGACCCAAAATTTATTTCTGGCTGACTCCTTTTGAATTATATTTGTTCCCAAATGTATAAGCCTTAAACCTACATGTGCAAAATGGCAACTTTCTTAGATTTTTTGTTACTAAATTTAATTTCTAGTCTTCATTCTGCATATTCTGTATACTGCAAAAAAAAAAGGAATAAAAAGAGAGAAACAGAAAATCAATGAGCAAACCAAATTTAAACTTTCCAATGCAGTTTAATATTAGCCAGAACAAAGTTTTCTCATTGAACAACTTCTTCTGGGATTAATTCCAAGTTCTGTAGAGTTTCTACAGCATTGAGACAAGGAAGGCAGTAGGGAACCCGGTCCTCAGAAGTTATATTCCATCCATACAGGCAGCTAGGTCATCTCATGTTGTCCATGTGGGTATCTGTTAAGCTGCTCATATCCCAACAGGCCAGAGACCCCCAATTCAAATGTGATCCCTCCAGGTGCACCAGACCTCAGATAAATGTCCCACCTTGCTAACTTTCCCACTCCATGGAGTATGACACTTTCTTCTCTTTATCACTCTGAGGCTGCCTGAGACTTGATGGGATGGTCTCAGTCTACTAAATATAAGCTCCTTGAGGGCACAATGTTATCTGTCTTATTCATCACTGTTCTCAAAGTTCATAAAACAATACTTCAAACATAGTATATGATCAACAAACATTGCCTGAGAGGCTCTTTGTTTTTTGCTGTCCCTGCAGAGCTATCTCTATTCTACTGTTATGTCTTGGTGTGGGAGCTCTGGTAGCATAGTGCCTAAGGCACTTGACTGCTAACCAGAAGGCTGGAGGTTCAAACCCACCAGCCACTCCTCAGAAGGAAGGTTGGGCAATCTACTTCCATAGTGATACTGCCTCAGAAACCCAAGGAGGGGTCACTATGAGTCGGGTCTGACTCGAGGGCAAATAACAACAACACTGTCTTGGTGTAGGGAAGAGATTTCTATTAGTATTTTGCTCCCCTATGTTCCGACTCGACGGCACACAACAACAACAACACAACAATGTTCTAGTTAGGAAGCAGAACCAAATCCTAGATCATTCAAAATTCATGTAAAGGTGCTATGGGGACTCTCTCCTATCCCAAACCCACCCTCAGTGACCCCTTAGATTAGATATTGGGGCTCTGAGACTCTGAAGCTTTAACTCTGCCCTTGCCTGATGCTCTGTGTGCTTATTCTGAGCTGGATTCTTGGACATGGGAAAATATAGTAAGTAACAAAGATGACATGGGTCATTGATATTGGGGGACAGGGAGAGACAGATTGTTCAACTTAAACCAAAAAATCCATTGCCATCCATTTGATTCTGACTCACAGAGACCTTAATAAGAGTTCTGGTGGCACAGTGCCTAAGGCATCTGACTGTTTTTTTTTTTTTTTTCTTTTCATGGAGACCTTATAGGACAGAATAGAACTACCCCATTAGGTTTCAAAGGCTATAATCTTTACAGAAGTAAAGTCTGCCACATCTTTCTCTTACCAAGTGGCTGACCTTTAGGTTAGCAGCTGAGCTCTTTAACCACTATGCTGTCAAGGCTCCTTTGTTCAGTCTAGGAGCCCAAATTATACATAAACCCCTCAGTCCTTCTTCAATTTGGTTTCCTTGGGAAGAGATGAGTAATGAATAAGAAAGAACACACAGTAATTTTTGTTAGACTTGCATGCTGGCCTGGGGCTTCCACTAATTTACAGTATGACCATAGGACCTTCCCTTCTTTGAAGATTGTTTTTCTTATCTGTGAAATAGTGGGATTGGGCTTTATAATCTGTATAAATTCTTCTGGTTCTGACTACCAGAGAACTTGAGAATTCTGCTGGATTTTTAACCAATATCTCTCCTCTAATCTTGAAACTGAAAGTCCATAGTCTTATCTAAGTGCCTGTAGGTGGAGTTTCTTGGTAGGGTAAAATTAAATTAAGGGTGTAGCAGACTCAGGTCTCAGACATGGTATCCCACAGGTTCTGTCTCCCCTTCTCTACTGTTTCTCCCTCCCCCTTCCCCGCTTTCCACACCCTTTGTGATTAGTGGAAGCAGTCCCAAGATGACTGAGTACATCCCTGAATACTATAGGCTCTTCCTGGGTCTCCAACTAATATCGCATTTCTTTACAGAGGCTTCATACAGAGTGAAACTGGTGAGAGGCCCCCACCGCTGTGAAGGGCGGGTGGAGGTGGAACAAGATGGTCAGTGGGGCACTGTGTGTGATGATGGCTGGGACCTGAAGGATGTCGCTGTGGTGTGCCGGGAGCTGGGCTGTGGAGCAGCCAAAGGAACACCTAGTGGTTTTTTATTTAAGCCAAAAGCAGAAGAAAACCAAGGTATCTTCATCCAAGAGGCCAAGTGCAATGGGATGGAAGATACTTTGGCTCAATGTGAGAAAGATGTTGATTATATGAGTTGTACCCATGATGAAGATGCAGGAGCATCATGTGAGAGTGAGTATGTCAGTGCTTAAGGACCATCTGCCAGATGCCCATACCTCACAAGGCCATTCTTTTTTGTTTTTACTCCCCACTATGGACTTTCACATGGACTGCACTGGCTAATCGATCCCATCATTCATGTCTCATACTTTCTTAGATCTAAACATTATCCTCATCTAGAATTGTTACTCCCACTTGCTTGAGCCAATGCTTTTTTTTCTCAGTTACAGTATATATGAGACCCTATTTCTCTTCTAAGCACACACACAAACACACGTGCTTGAGATGCTCCAGTAATCACTAAATAATTATTGAATAGTGTATGTTGTATCTGGACCTGGAGGTGGAATTGTGGGGGAAGAAATGGGCTCACAAAGTGTAATGTATGCTTGTTCTATAGTTCTATCTCTCAAGGGGTCCACTAGCTAGTCATGTAGACAGCAGATACTCATTGTAAAACAACACATTCTCACATATTTTTCTCTATTCCTTTACTCTCCTGCATATATTTGCTTTTATGTATTATTAATATCTCCACTTTCTGTGTATTCTTTCCCTCCATTAGACTGTAATTTGGCTGAGAGGCTAGGTCAAGTCTTCTTCTCTTTCTTTGTCTCCTCACGAGTTTGTTACCAGGGAGACTATCACTGAATCTTTGTGCCTTGATGTTGAGGCTTCTTTTTTATTTCTCAGAAATATCGAGGGCTGGGAACACTAATATGGGATACTTGGGTAACAATGCCAACACTGGCAACAAAAGACTTCGGACTTGGGTGCATCACTTCACTTCCCTGTATGCTATATGTATTTTTGTTGTTGTTATTTTAATCTACACAATATTTCTACCTGCCTTTTTTGAGGAGGAACTAGAAATTGAATGTGAAAATAATTGGAAAAAGTAGAAATGTCATAGAAATGATTAATGGTTCAACTCAGAACTGACTGATTGGTTCATTCATCTATTCAACAGGCATCTCTAAGCAGTTACTAGGTGCTAATAACAAGTATACATTGTACTAAACACCAAGAGCATAGAGATGTGTACATTGACTCCCTTTTCCCTAGAAGACTGTGTTCTTGCAGGGAACAAACACTTCCTCTTCCTTTTTCTCAGTCCCAGAGACTGTGCGTCTGGCTGACGGGCCTGGACACTGCACGGGGCGAGTGGAGGTGAAGAACCAGGGCCATTGGGGCACCGTCTGCAAAGCAGGCTGGAACCTCCAGGCTGCCAAGGTGGTATGCCGGCAGCTGGGATGTGGGAAGGCCATACTGACTCGAGGAAACTGTGACAGAGCTACCCAGGGCCAAAGGCGCATTTTGCTAAGCCAGGTGTCATGCTCAGGAAAAGAACTAACCCTTCAAGATTGCCACTCTGTGCTTTTGGGGAAGGGCAACTGCACCAATGATGAAGAAACTTGGGTCCAGTGTGAAGGTAATGCCTAAAAGTTCTGAGGCTAGGTTTATTCGTAAACTTATTAGATGGAATTTAATTCAACCATTATTCACAGAAAATTGTAAACAGACATGGCAAAGATACTTCATTGTTCTTATCAATGTTCTTGTCTTTAAAATGAGGCTAACAATACCTATCTTTGTATATAAAAATGTCTTCAACAATATCAAGCCCTATATTAATGTGAATTATTATTATATTGGAGCCCTAGTGGTAGAGTGGTTACTAACCAAAACATCCGTGGTTCAAACCCACCAGCTGTTCTGTGGGAGAAAGATGAGGCAGTCTGCTTCTATCAAGATTTACAGCCTTGGGAACCCTATAAGGCAGTTCTACTCTGTCCTTTAGGGTTGCTATGAGTCAGAATAGACTCAGTGGCAGTGTCTGTGTTGGTTTGGATTATTATATTAAATTCTATGTAAGCTTTCTGAGCCTTATTTCTCAATTCTCTGTAGGACATTTATTTCATAGTGATCTGGCTTTTCTCATTCACTCAGCAAGCTTTTGAATTGATAACATCCTCCTCTGTACTTTACTGCCCAATGGTGTATCCAAAAATTGAAATGTATTTTTTTCCCCATAAAAGATCTCAGTATAACATTGACTTCAGGGCTAGAAAACCTGGCTCTAGACTTTGCATCTTGCTGACAGATGAGCACAAATTTCACTGAGAGATGGGTGGTTATCAGCAGAATACCTGCTGTAGCTCATCTAATGAGATTTTGATGTGCACTTTTCAACCAAACAGATTGTCATGGTTGTTAGGTGCTGTCAATTTAGTCCCAACTCATAGCAATGCTATATAGCACAGAATGCAGTGTTACCTGGTTTTAAGTAATCCTCAGAATCATTGCTATGCTGAGCCCATTGCTGCAGCCAGTGTATCAATCCATCTCATTGAAGGTCTTCCTATTTTTCACCGGCCCTGTACTTTACCAAACATGATATCCTTTTCCAGGGATACTAAACAGATAGAGACTAGCTAATCTACAATAAAAGCATTAAATAAAAATATAACAAAAACATTTTTTAAAAAATCTGATTTGAAGTTCTTTCAAATTTTCTAGTGCCTTAAATTATCTCTTTGAAACTCCACCAAATCATGGGCCAACCAGAATTATTTCTTTAACTGAGAGTTGACCTTAAATTTCTATTTTGATTAAATCTTTCCGCAAAATGAAGAATTATTGTACAAAGTGTTAAATATATAATGAATGGCTGCCAACATGTTAGATGAAAGAAAGCAAGCAATAGAGTAGGAACCAGATGGGCATCTAAGCATTCAATCTTGGTATTGAGTAATATGGTGGGTTTAGTAGGGCAAAATATACTAGAATCTTAACATTATGCTTGTGAAGACAAAGGCAGTGGCAGAATTAGGGAGGATGAGGATGGGATGTCCCTGAATGGTGCAAACCGTTAACACATTCAGCTGCTATCTGAAAGTTTGGTGGTTCAAGTGCACCCAGAGGCATCTTGGAAGAAAGGTCTGTCTATCTCCTTCTGAAAAATCAGCGACTGAAAACCCTACAGAGCACAGTTCTGCTCTGAAACATGTGATGTTGTCATGAATCAGAAGAGAGTCCATGGTTAACTGGATGTTAGCTAGAAGAGATGGACCTGGTGTTGAGAAGTTAATGCTGCCTTAGTGCTGCCTTTCCTTCTCTTCTAGGGGCCTGGCGGCAATTCAACTTATAGGTTGAGGAAGACATAGGTAAATTGTGACTGGCCAGGCTGGCCTCAAGATCAAAAGCGGGTATAGGAGTCTCTGAACAGTATTAATACCTATTTATTAGGGCTGTGGCAGAGAAGCCCCAGAAATGCCCACCCTGGTTGACTCCAATCCTTGGCTAGTCATAGGTTCTGAGGAACAGAATTCAGTCCCTAAGTAGAGAGGCAGGGGCTCATCAAGGACAATAATATAAAGCTAGAACATGAACAAATCCTCAAGTAAGTGGTCTCAATGCACACTGTAGATGCTGAGGAAAGAGGCTGTTTCTAGAATGATGCTATATATTCTAGGAACCTCATTAATAGCCTTTGAGGACTGGAATTTTAGCAGTCAACCATTTTTAAACTGTACTCTCTGATGGAGACAGGGTTCCCATCTTGCAACCAGTTTGGTTCCATTTGGCTCAGGCTGGCAGAACTGCAACTGGTGGTAGATATTCCACACCTTCACCTGGGCAGAACTGGGTTAGGAGGAAGAGAAATGCTGTGTTGCCACTACTTTGACTTTTTCTTGGGCTTTCCAAAGACTTATCAGAAAATGCATTAAATATGGACAAGGCAAATAATTCTATGCACTTGTCCTCCAATTTTTGAAAACTACTGGAAAATCATTTGCAAATGGTAGTTTTATATAATGAATGTTGTTGTTGTTGTTGTTTGCCGTCGAGTCAGACCTGACTCATAGCGACTCCTCCTTGGGTTTCCGAGGCAGTACCACTACGGAAGTAGATTGCCCCATCTTCCTTCCTTCCGAGGAGTGGTTATGAACCGCCAGCCTTCTGGTTAGCAGTCAAGTGCCTTAGGCACTACGCTACCAGAGCTCCCATATAAAATGGCTAGAACAGTGAGAAGATCTTTGTTAAGGAAAAGGATCTGGGCTACATGAGCTGGAACCTGATGGACACCTAGAGAAGGAGGCTGTAATCACAGAAACACAAGTGGAGAGTTGCATATGTGATGATGTGTTTGAGAGAGGATGTAGATGAATTTTTTTTTTTTTTTTTAATCCTCTGCCTCTCTCCATCTTGTAACTTTCTCCTTTACCGCATAGAGCCCTTTAAACTGAAGTTGGAAGGAGGAGATAGCCACTGCTCTGGGCTACTGGCAGTGTTGCATAAAGGTGAATGGGGCTCTGTTTGTGATGATGGCTGGGGAGAAAAGGAGGACCAGATGGTATGCAAGCAATTAGGCTGTGGGAAGGCCCTCTCTCTACCTCTCAAAGCCCGGAAATGCTTTGGTCTGCGAGTTGGCCGCATCTGGCTGGATGATGTTCGTTGCTCAGGAAGCGAGCGTTCCCTGGAGCAGTGTCGGCACAGGTTCTGGGGGTATCATGACTGCACCCATAAGGAAGATGTGGCTGTGATCTGCGCAGGTAAGTCCATCATCATGGACTGGCCTGGTGGGGGGTAGAGGGTTAGAGAGTGGAAACAGGGATTCTTTGGACATGTCCGTGAGACAGTCTTATTAGAGAGGCTGGAATACCAGCCCTGAACTGTAGACCTTTAGGGGAAGAGGAGGAAGAATGCTTGCCCCAACTTGGGCCAGAAAATACAAGTGCAGCCCTTTGGCTGACTCAAGAGAATCTCCTGTCGGAAGCTCAGTTTCATAATCAGGGTAGGAGCTGACTGTGCACAGCTACTTGACTCTGGAACTAGGTAAGACCTGAGACTTGACCAAGGAATATGATGAGTAGCTTAATGGCCAAACGAGGAGGGATTTGGTGACAAAGCCTAGGATTTTAGCCTTGCTGCAACCACTTGGAAACTATGTGATCTTAGTCATTTAACCGCTCTGAATTTTGGTGTTTTCACGTGTAAAATAGACATTTGCCCCATTTACCTCAGTGGGTTTATAATTATGGAAGATAAATTGTGTGTATGTGAATATTGTTTGTGACCCATGGGAACTGGTTGAGTAAGTCCCTGGGATACTGCATTAGATTGTAACTTCACCCCATAACCATGTGGTATACTTGTGTGGCTTAGGCCCTGGTAGGATCTTCATTTTTTTTTCCCTTAGCTTCTTTGAGTTTGAATGAAACAATCCCTTCATGACCTCTTGCCCCACCCTTACTTCTTCTCTTTACAGAGCAGTAACCTGTTCTTCTTGATGCTTCCCACTGACCCTGGAATGATCCTGCTTCTTTCATGGGCCGTGATTATCCCAGTGCTTGTGCTGGGCCTACAGACTTTAGCAACCATCCCTCATGTCCTCAGCAGAAGTTTGAACACTGTGCTTAAGCCATGCTCTCTGAGGCAAGAACCTTCATCCTTGCTTGGAGATATGAATTGTGAGGGAAGAAATGGAAACCTCTTGCTGGAGAAGATAAGCTTCCAATTGCCCTCTCCTCAACACTGACCCCTTGGAATTGGTTTTAGCTTTTCCTGCCTCTTCTCAACTTGCCTGGTACCCCCAGGCCTATCATTCTATCCAGATGTGCAGGCCATTATTAAGGCAATACCTCTGTCTATAAACAAGAGGAAAGGAATGAAACAATGAAAAGAACATTTGAAAGGAAATGTGGCTAGACAATTTCACAGAACTTGAGGGGAAATTTAGAATCATCTTATACTCTTTTACCAAGTCTTAGGTGATCACAATTAATAACACTTCCCTACTCTCTTATTCCTTGGTGAGAGTAGAACATTCTTTCAAGGGCAGAGTCCTTTAATCCAAGACCTGATTTTCATGACACTTGGAAAAAAGGGGTTGGATCCCCTGAATCCCCTGATAAATACCTTTTTTGTCCATCCCTATACTAAATGCCAACATAGTTATTGGCCTTTAGCAAGAAAAATCTTATAAATGCATTAGTTTTTTCTAATGAAAAATAGGAGCTCTGGTAGCACAGATGCCTAAGGCATCTGACTGCTAACCAGAAGCTTAGTGGTTCAAACCCACCAGCCACTCTGTGGAAGCAATACTGGGCAATCTACTTCTATAAAGATTTACCACCTTGGAAACCCAATGGGGGTCCCTATGAGTTGGAATAGATGACTCAACAGCAGTGGATTTGGTTTAGGTTTAAGGAAAAATATATTGGGTATGGAGCTACCACTGGGAGAAGGGCAAGAAAAAGCCAGAAGAAGGTTGGGACATACAGAGCTCTGTCTCATGCCAATTGGAAAATACAGTTTTCATTCTATCAACTGAGGCTTTGACACCTGCTGACTTGAGATAAAACATAATGATACTAAAGTGAGAATACAGACTTGATTGCAAAAATAAACAATCTTAGACTCTGAGGCTAACCTGAGCACTTATCATATGCTTACATTTAAACTGTCTAATAAATCAGATATCATATTACAGTCTCAACAGTTGCCTGTTTGTATGATATGCTCTTTCTACCCAAGGGGAAGCAGGTGTCTCAGCTATGGTCCCTTAGGCAGAATTAGGTAAAAGAGAACCCACCATATGTTTGATATAACTCTCTCCTCTGAGTATGAAGCTCTCTCCCTGTCTATTTCCTCCTTCAGTCTGTGAGTTTTAAGTTCAGTTCTTTCACCACAAGTTTTTAGCAGGGGTCCAAAAACACTGAACAAAGAGAAACAATTTCCAACATTGGATAGCTGGAATAATGGGGTCCTCTGAAAAAGGAGTCTCTAAGAAAGCGGATGGAACTGATGCCATTTGGTGACAATGAGTTGGCCATTCATTAGGTTCAGAGTGTGCATTTCATCTTTGCTCCGCATTATTCAGATAAGAAATGAGACAGAGCGCCGGCAGAGGGAGCTAGAGTCCTGCTATAGGATCTTATGGCTGTGGACCATGGAGTGTGTTTCTGCTGCCTAACCAATTATCTCATTGTAGATGTTCAACAAACGTTTATTCAGCGAATATTTAAGAACTAGCTTGGAAACAGATACAGAAACCTAGCTGCATAGAAGGAGAGAAAATGCCTTAACAGACATTTTGGAAGCAGCCAGTCTATGGATCAGGTTTCACAGATCTTTCTTGTTTTGCCGAGTGTCTAACTAGCATACTTTCCTCTCCACCCAGAGTGCCTGGAATCTGGAGGCATGCTGAACTAACTTGTCAGGAACCAATAAAACCAAACTCACTGCCCTCGAGTCAGCTCCGACTCATAGCGACCCCTCCTTGGGCTTCCCACGCGGAAGTAGATTGCCCAATCTTCCTTCCGAGGAGTGGCTGGTGGGTTTGCACTCTCAGCCTTCTAGGTAGCAGTGAAGTACTTCAGGCACTACGCCACCAGAGCTCCTAGTAGCGTAGAACAGGGCTGAAATTTCACAAGAGGAACTTTGACTTTCCCTTAATTTCTCTATTGAAATTCGTTTTGTAAAATTTCAATCCAGTAAGATCACTGGAAACCAATCAGATAAAAATACAGAGTAATTGTCCACCGAAAGCAAGACCTGACAATAGCGTAATTAATAGTATTGAATCCAGTTGTCATCGAATCAACTCTAACTCATGGTGACTCTGTGTGTCAGAGGAAAACTGTATTCCATAGGGTTTTCAGTGTCTGAATTTTCAGAAGTAAGTCATCAGGTAGACATCAGGTAGACTCTAGGTAGACTCAAACCTCCAACCTTTTGGTTAGCAGCTGAGTGCATTAGCTATTTGTACCATCCAGGGATTCCAATTGATAGTATTAACAGATGCAATAAGAATGTGTCACAAAAAGAGAGGCTGATAGAAAACTGAGAGTCTTAAAGACAAAGTTGGCATTGGTCTCTTAGCACTGGCCAGAGAAGAGGGTTCCCTGACACAAGAATATGGCTGTCTTGTCTTTATATCCAAAATGGAAGTGGATATAATAGGATATCACAGCCTGAAGAGATTAGCATAGAGACAGAGACTGCCACAGCTTACAGATATCCATACTCTCCTCTTCTTCCCAGACACACCACTAGTCTACACTTCCTAGTCCTCTTATACAAAGGTGGGGCCACATGGCCAGTTCTCGCTAACAGAGTATGAATTTAATTTGTTTATAACAGTTTCATTTCAGGGCAGTTAACAGTAGCTTGCCTTCTCCATGCTCTTTCTCTCTCCATCTGTTGGCTGGCCTGAGAAAACCACAAGGACATATGGGAAGGCAAAGCCAGAAGATGGAAGGAGCCTGGAGCCTGGATCTCTGAATGTCCTGAGTCTCCCACCCATACTCTGCTGACTGTGACATGAATAATAAATGAATGTGATTTATATGAAGCCACTGAGATGTCAGGGTTGTTTACTTATAGCAGTTAGCTCACCCTTTCTAATACAGATATTGAGATAACAACAACAACAAAATCAATGGCACTGATGGAAATTTCACCAAGCAACCTTCTCATGGTCATCTGGCTTTCTCAAAGTCCGGTAAATGTTTTCCCACACTAATGAGGAACCACTCATAATTTTATTTCTCACTATAAGTTAATTATATTTTATTTTTGATGATCTCTGAAGCTCTCTTTTTCTATAACTATAACCAACATGTCCATGAGGGGAGTCCCTTGTATTCACTTTTTTTTTCTTTTTTTTTAATTAGGATTTGGGTGAAGATTTACAGAGTAAATTCACTTTTCATACAGCAGTTCACATATACTTTGTCTCAT